AAAAAAGTCAACACATTTGAAACACTTGCCGGACGTTTCTCTCTCTCTTCTAAAATCCGCCTCGGTGATCATGGGCTGGTCCGGAATCTATTTCTTTCAAAAGTGTTGCGCCATGTTTAAATGGCTTTCGTCCACTGATGTCGCACCTTCGGATCGATTAGAAACGTGTGAATACATACACTATGACTATATGTTTCACTGCAACTGCCCACAACACAACAACTAAAAACTCTCTCTCAGAAAAAATAAAATAAAATAGACAAAAAAAAAAAAAACGCTGACCGAAAAATGTATATCGTTTAAAACTATACTGAATGACCAGTGTTATTACGGCTCGGGGGTATGACTTCCTCTCACATTTTTGTCATTTGTTGGCGCACTTTCGGCGAGAGTCGGAAATCCGGAAACAGTCGACCGTTTCAGGATAGGTGGGCGTGGCTACAACACGAGAAATACCCCAAATTTACTTGGATACGAGTAATCATTTCCAGCAAAAGAATCAATAACTGCCCATTTCAGTGGGACACAGGTCTAAAATGGGAAACGTGAGGGTGGGCATTGCACAGGCACTTTAAGGTGACAATGAGAGGAACTTGAATGTGTCCAGACAAACTATTTCATGGATTATTTACCAATGTGTTGTGGTTTGACTTGGGGGCAATTCGACTAAAACAGAAATTAAAATTCAGGACACTACTTTTCAAAACACGTTGCTTGAATAAAACTGACCAGACACATTCAATTTACCAGACTATTGATCAACTAGGAAAAGTGAAAAAAAAAAAACTTATCACCAGCATAAATGCGTAATTATTTTTTTTACAAAAAAAGTAATTTTTCACTTTTGATTAAGTAACGCACCATGAAATGCAGATACGGGCATGGCAAACACATCTTTGAAAAGCTTGAAGTCTGGCGATTCCAAAAAATATATACTTTCCTGGGTCTGTAGTCATTTGGTCACAATTAGAAAATGAAAACAAGTATGCAAATAATAGTTCCGCTACCTTAAGATCAAAGGTTCCATGATCATTTCTACCGTTTACTCAGTAATTATAATGTATGCTTGTTAATCTAGTAGCAAAGAACATAATATCTACAGAAAAGGTGAATTAACATATTATGAACGTATTTTGAGAGCCCTCGGTATATTCAAAAACCATTGGGTCAAAGGTCATTGTTTAAAATGGCGTCGCTGGAAAGTTGTGTATGCATTCGCAAAGACGAAGTCGATGATTGTTTCAATCCAGCGAAAGTAAATAAAGTCGTGATTGAAGAGGATATATGGAACGCAATAAAACTGCCATCTCAAAACTGCGAGCCTGGATAATAATACCGTTAACGACAAAACAACTTGAAAACAGTTCAAGATTCCATCATCTACTGCTTGTGCAAAGTACTCCGGAGGGACATAGTTTTAACACCATTGCAAAGATCGTAAAGTAGGCTTTAAATTAAACTACCAGTAACCGATAAGTGGACCAATTTGGTGCAACCCTGTAAAAGTAGCAGTTGAAATAACCTATAGAAATTCCATGAAAAAACAGAAAAACAACGTACATGTAACTTACTGATAGATCGGTCGATTTTAAAAATTCTAACATGAATAAACTTGTCATAACAATGCCATTTTTTCTAGACGCATCATGCAAGTAAAATTACTAATATTTTCTTCTTGTTAGATACCGTATAGCAACTGAGAAAAAAAGACCTGCCCTTGGTTACAAGGACAGTGAACGCTAGTTTCGGAAATGATCATTGTTATAAAAGGATGTTTAAACGGGCAAGATAAGAGGATTACCTTGACTAGAAACAAGTCATTGTCAATGACACGTCCCCGTTTCGTTCATATTTGAGTGACATATACATTCAAAGCAGATCATGACCGAAATGCACCTGCATATGTACAACACATTGTACTAAATCTGAACAAAATCCATCCATGCATGACTGAGATCTGGTTCCGGAATTGTAAAAATATGTGATTTTGATGCATTTTCGGCATTAAAATGGCCATCATTCAGCTATTGTTAAGCGGACCATGAAACAAATGCACATATCTATTTGTGACATGATGT